CACTGTTTGTGATGCATGTTTGAGATGTTTGGCACGTTGGATCTAAAACTGCTGCTCGTTGGTTTGATCTGAATCTTTCCTTCTGCTGTTTTTCAGGAATCGACTACAAGACGACCACCGTCCTCCTGGACGGGAGAAGAGTGAAGCTGCAGCTCTGGTACGAACACGCCGTCGTTCACACAGCTGCCTTCGTCTCATGTTATCAGTCTGTGTGGAAAGAAAGCAGAGGACAATCAAAATATACAGGAGGCATGTGAGGCCCGTTTACCCAATAAAAAGCTTTTTCAGGTACTGAGCTTCATCCAGCTTCAGCCTGACGGGTGTTAAAGGCTCGCTTCACTCAGTGAAAATATTCCTTCAGTTTTAGTTTGACGTTTCAGTTTTATGTCCAAAGAAACTGAGAGGAATGCAGCTGACAGCACAGCCTGAGCGGTGTGTGGTGGATAAAAGTGGAAAGAAAATAACTTATGATGATTAAAAGCCTTAATGTGACACTGACAGCAGGTCTGATTCAAAACCTCCTTTGATGCTGCAGCTGACAGGATGTCGTCATCAGAGGCCGAACACCGTAAAAGCTTAACCACACAAGACGCGTGTGACCCGCCCTGCTGGACACGTCACACAAACTAACCTGGAAGTGACCAGGACTTTTATTTTGAAGGACCAGTCCAGGATGATGATGTCATCATAAGAGCATCTGCAGCACTGATGCTTTTACTTTGGCATAAAAGATGTCATTGGATGAAATCAGCGGAGCTGTACTCGAGTAAATCTACTCAGTTTGTTTCTGTGATGACGGTTTGCTGCTCTGCACAAACTCACTCGTGTTTGTAGAAACGTGTTTCAGCCGAGGCGCCATCACATGTTCAGTCTGCCGCTTTGATGTTTAAGAGGACGTGACGCTGTGTGTGTGTGAGATGATCCTGTCTGGATCTGCCGCTCTGACTTTGATAACTGGCGGCCATCTTTTCCCCGCCCGCGTGCTCATGAGCCAAGCAAACCCCTGCTGTGGTGCTCAGACACACTCGGGTTTCTTACTGTGGACAGGAACAACAAACCCACAGAGCGCGCTACGCTTGCAGGAGGAGGCATCTGTGCACATGTTCATCACCACAGTCAGGACGCTGCTGTGCAAAAGTCTTGAGCCACCTTTCATGTCTTAAATCTTGTAGGAAAATGTGAAGCAGGTGCACAATTAAAACAGCCTCAGCTGAAATCAGCAGTAAATACGACTGTGTGCTTAAAAAAGCAGGTTTATAACAGGAGTTTGAGACACTGGGCAGCTCTGAGTCTCTGAATCCAGTCAAACACAACAACAGAAAGACACCATGACTCTACCTGAACTGAAGGAAGCACTGACCTTTCACAATAAGAGTGAGGGGGGAACCCAGCCCACCATGTCTGTGCACACTTCCTCCAGAGCCTCGGGAACACTTCAATCCTAATCTGTCCACAACTTCATGACAGAACCCTTAAAACCAGGACGCACACTGTCACCGGTCTGAGAGGGTCGAGACCAAAGTCCACACCACTGGCTCTGTGCTCGGCTTCCTGTGTTTGGACCTTTTTCACGTTCAGGCAGCTGAAGTCGGCCCCGTGAGACGGCTCTCCAAAGTAAAGCTGGGAGTTTGTTTTTTCTTTCCCATTAAGGCTGGACAATGGGAGAGCTCATCCCAGTCTGACCTTCAGCTTCACAGTCATTAGTTAAGACTCTGAGTAATGTTTGTTTGGAGGCGTGAGCATCGCCACGGTGACCTTTAACCTCTGTGTTGTGTTGTTTCAGGGACACGTCGGGGCAGGGCCGGTTCTGCACCATATTCCGATCCTATTCCAGAGGAGCACAGGTGAGCACCGAGTGCACTGCTGCAGACAAACACAGGGGGGCGCTCACTGAACCTGGGGGTGAGTTCTCCATTCTCCTAATGACCTTTGACCTTCACTGAATGTAAACGAACCCCTGGGCTGCTGTAAAGCAGTAACGGTTCTATCATCAGAATGATCAACATGAGTTCATCTTATTTTCCGAACAGATAACATTTTTAGTTTTAAACTGGTTTTTAGTTTCAAACGTGCTCTGAAGCACCGTGTTAGACACGCTTTGGGGGTTTCGAGCCTGAAGATGCTGATGCTGACCAGCTGTGAGTGCTGCTCTCTGATTGGACATGGAGCCATGTGACTCTGGCAGCAGGTGGTGGCAGGAAGTGTGAGAAAACACGTTTCCCTGAATGAAGCTGTTCTGTTGTAGTCGCTCATCAGGGCTATTAGAGGACATGTAACCATGGAAACGGTGTCACTGTTGCCACGGCGAGGCTAAAAGTTGATCTTGAATCTGTAGTTTCAGTCACGGCGAGCAGGTAACGGCCCGCTGGCCCGAGAGCAGGGCGCTCACACCTGTCAGTCAAAGAGGCCACGCCCCCAGCGATGCAGCCTTTAAGCTTTCATTTAAACAGGTGATGTAATGACGGTGAGATTATCTGTAGAGGCTGTAAACACGCTGATGAGAGTGTGAGTGTGTTTGTTTTCAGGGGGTCATCCTGGTGTATGACATCACCAACCGCTGGTCATTTGACGGCATCAACAGGTGGATCAAAGAGATCGACGAGGTGAGCCATCGATCGTGTGTGTGTGCAGTCAGCTCTCTCTCCATCGCTCTCCTGTTATCTAACAGCTGACCGGTGATGTCACAAACTCTGACTGAGTCAAAACGGCGCCCACGCCCGCTGAGGCAGTGTCTCTTTAGGCTGCCGTACTTCAAACGTTTCCCTTAACTTTAAGCTGCGTCCCCCCACCTGACACACCTGTAACACTGAGTGTGCTTAAAGACCCACATGCCCCTTTCCTTTCTGTTCCCCGTTTACCCAGCATGCCCCAGGAGTTCCTAAGATCCTCGTTGGCAACCGTCTGCATCTGGCCTACAAGCGTCAAGTGACCACGGAGCAGGCGCAGGTGTACGCCGAGAAACTGGGCGTCACCTTTTTCGAGGTCAGCCCGCTATGCAACTTCAATATCACCGAGTCGTTCACGGAGCTCGCCCGAATTGTGCTGATGAGACACGGCATGGAGCGCCTGTGGAAGCCCAGTAAAGGTGTGGCATTAGCTCCGCCCCCTGCAGGTCTGTGATGCAGCTTTAAAATGGGATGTTCAGCTCTGTGCTGCCCTCTGCTGGAGGCTCCGCTTCACTGAGGATAAAGTCAGACGTCATTCACAAAAACATCGTTCTGCTTTCACTCTTTCCTGAAAAAACACTTTTTATTCCTGAAATATTCCAACTTTATTTTTATTTGTCACTTTATTAATACAACATTTTCACTTTGTTGCTGAAATATGTTTTTCATAATCTTATTCATTTATTGCTAAATTAATGTTCTTGGAATATTTTACAACTTTATTCCTAAATTTTTATGAATTTAGTCCTAAAATATTAGGAAATGTATCCAAACATATGTTATTGTACAAATACATGATTCCATATTCAATATTTCAATTTGTTTCCTAAAATTTTATAACTTTATTGATAAAGTGTTTTTTCATGAAATACAATAAATCTATAATAATTCCCTGTTTTGATTGGTTCTTCTCTGTGAGCGCTGTAATCTGATTGGTTCTCTGTGTGTGTCAGTGCTCAGTCTGCAGGACCTCTGCTGTCGCTCCATCGTTTCCTGCACGCCGGTCCACCTGGTCGACAAGTTGCCCCTCCCACTGGCTCTGAAGTCTCACCTGAAGTCCTTCTCTATGGCCAACGGCCTCAACGCTCGCATGATGCACGGACGCTCCTTCTCAGTCACCGCCAGCGCCCACTACGGCGCCACCAAGAGGACTGGGGGGGCGCTGCTGAAAAAGCCCAAACTGATCCGGGCGCCGCCCCTCAGCCCGTCGGCTCAGAGCTGCAGAAACAGCTGTAAAATCTCCTAATGACAGTTAAGGCACCGCCTGCTCGAACATTTGAAGATGGCGGTTGGAAGTGAAGAATTCCTCACCAGGACCTGAACCGCGCTTCAGACTTCCTGTTTGGTGACGTTTGCTTTGCCACCTGTGAGCTGCAGGCGTCCAGTAATAGGTGAGGTGACATCACATGGTTGGAAAACGACAGTGTCAGGAAAAACCCTCGGAGCACGTCAGCCCCAAGTCTGAAAGTGTGACGTAAAGCTGCTCGATGCTCAGAAAACGCGCGTTCTCAGCAGCCAATCAGAGCTGCAGACGCTGATTTATTCTTCTGGCTTTCTTCTGGTTTTTGTTACTTTGGTATTTTTTTATTTTTGAAACAGACTTTTTTTAATTTACAGATTTTATAATAAAAAAAAAAGCTTCCAGTCAGATTTGTAAGATTCAGATTTCCTTCTTGAATCGTTCCGATGTGGTTTTTCGCCCGGACTCTTCTTCGTTGTGTGATTTGATCTGCAGGTGTGACAGTTTTCCACTCTGGGACTTGATTCTTGGAATTCTTCGGAGCCTCTGATTTCAGACTTCATGTTTATAAGATGAACTGAAACCGTGACCTCTGACACTTCCTGCGCCACATTTCCACCTCAGCGCTGAGGTTAAATGTTTCCTCACCTGTACATAGAAGCACCTTGAAGCGGTGCTTTTGCACATCATTCTTCTGCAGACACACAAACTTTTTGTGTGCGATATTTGTACGTGTTGTAAATACGCCTGTTTGATATGAAGCTGAGGATGATGATGGTGATGATGAAGCTGACCCCTGCAGCACGCGCTCAGGAGGTGACTGTTAACCGTCAGTGTTTCAATAAAGTTTGTCCACGTCACAGCGTGCACTTCCTGCTTCACGTGTTTTGTTTTTGTTGTGACATTAAAACGATGTTCTCTGAGTTTGGAAGCTGTGTGTCTGTGTTGTTGCACACGCTTCTTTCTGGTTTTGTCTCGTTGTTTTCATCCAGTTTTGGTACTTTGTGCCATGTTGTTGCCTCACAGTTTATCATATGGTGAATTTGTGCGTTTCTGTGTTAATGTTGGGTCTGTTGTGCTCACTCTTCATCTCTCACTGATCATGTTTCATTTTGTCTGCTCGTCTTTGTGTGTTTGCTGGTTGTGCTGCTGTGTTTGGTTTGTGTCTCTACGATGTTGTTCTTGGTTTCCGTGATTATAATCACGTGCATGTCTGACGTCACAGAGGAATAATTAGTATTAGTAAATGCAGATGAACGCGCTGGTGGCTCTGACGTCATCACGCAGTAATTTGCAGATGAAAATCTGACGCAGGGCGCCTCCGGTCCAGCAGGGGGCGGGGCAGGGCCGCGGTGACGTCGTCAGAGGAAGAGGAGGAGGTTTGTGTTGCCAGCCTGGCTGTGAGGATCGCTGAGACGAGTCTACGCTGAAGCTGAAGCTGTTCTCGGACACAAACTCGGTGAGAGCAGAAACGCTCGGTCCTCACCGGAAGCTGACAGAGGTGACGGTTCCGGTTATCCAGAAACTTCTACGGTTCCGACTCTTTACTCTGACCTGAACAGAGACAGTCTGTCTGCCAGCGAGACTGCGCACAGGTGAGCCCAGCACAGGTGAGTCACAGTAAAGGGGGCTTTGGTGGGTTGGTGGGTTTGTGTGGTCGTAAAAGTGGCGTGACCGGCCTCACTTCCGGTCACGTACTGTCTCAGAGCTGCTCCAAACACTCAGTTTACCACAGCCTTCCACACGCTGGGACCTGTGTGACGTCACAAAGCTGCACCGCTGCAGGTGTGTCAGGTGTTTAGTGAGCTGAGACTCAGTCAAAGAAGGCTGACTGTGAGTCTGAATCATGCAAAGCTGCTTCTGCCTCGTTCAGGGTCTCACCCTCACCTCCAGGTGAACTTTGACCTGTTGAGAGGTGCAGAAGGGCAGATGGAGCTCTTTAAGCAGAAGTGTCCAGTCACAGGAAGTGGCGTCTGATTTCTTGGCTGTCTGGTTTGGGACTTCCTGTCACAGAGAGAGAGAGAGAGAGGGAGAGGGTGGGTGGGTGGGTGGTCACAGCTCTGGTGTGTTTCATGCTCTTCAGCACGAGGTCAGGAGTCTTCTTTGTCCTCTCCTGGCTCCGCTTCAGTGTCACTCACAGGCCCAGGAGGATGACGGCTTCCCCCTCAGCAGCACCGACGCCACGTTTCAGCTTCAGACACGTCACTGCTTCAACCTGTGACGGGAGACGGAGCGTGCGTGTGGGCGTGTCTTGATGTTTTTGTGTGCTTGTGGTTGTTGTGAGTGTGCTGAGCACTCTGACTTCAGTATCAGTACCTGTAACGCTTCAACGTCTGGCGTTGGTGTGATGTCAGCACTGACGCCTGGTTTCTGCCCGTGTGTGCAGGTACGATGGCGCTCTGTGGGTGGTGGTTAATCCACTTCCTCGTCTTCACTTCCTGCTCGGCTCACGACTTCTTCACCTCCATCGGTGAGTTTAGCCGCTCTGTATCGTAGCGTGGAGTCCTGCTGAGCGCGTGTGTGAGCGCTAATTTGTTCTTTGTCACAGGTCACATGACGGACCTGCTGTTCACGGAGAAGGACCTGGTCACCTCCCTGAAGGACTACATCCGAGCGGAGGAGAGCAAACTGGAGCAGATCAAAAAGTGAGTGTCGCTGCTCGCCGTTAAACGCTCCGCCTCCTGTTTTCCTGGAACAGAACCTCAAGTTTGTTGGGGGGGGGCAGCTCACTAGGTTTACATTGCTGTCACGATCTGCGACACACTCTTACCTGTGCCGTGTGTGTGTGTTCAGGTGGGCAGACAAACTGGATGTCCTCTCGGCAGCTGCCACTCAGGACCCCGAAGGCTTCCTGGGTCACCCGGTGAACGCCTTCAAGCTGATGAAGAGGCTGAACACGGAGTGGGGGGAGCTGGAGAGCCTGGTGCTCACCGACGTGTCTGATGGTGCGACGCAGAAATCAGCTGTTGGACGTTAGGACACAGAATCTTTTTTCCTTGTTTTCATTGTCCTCCTCCTTCTTCTTCTGTGGTGTTTCAGTGTTCATCTCCAACCTCACCATCCAGAGGCAGTACTTCCCCAACGACGACGACCAGACCGGCGCTGCCAAAGCTCTGATGAGACTGCAGGACACCTACCAGCTGGACACCAACGCCATCTCCACTGGAGAGCTCCCAGGTCTGTGAACCGGGACCTGCTCTGCTTTACAGGGCAGAGCGGGCTCTTCAGTCCGAGTTTAGAGAAGACGGCGCTCAGGAGGAAAAGGACCACAAATGTTTCTGAGCTCTCAGTCGTGTGTCTGAAAGTCATTTACACGATTCAACCTTCCAGCTCGCGCTTTAATAACAGGAACATGAGTTGTAAATGCTCCTGCTCTCTCTCGCCTCCTCAGGCTCGTCCTCCACCTCCTCCGCCTGGAGCACTCTGACCGTGGATGACTGCTACGACCTCGGGAAGGTGGCGTACTCTGAGGCGGATTACTACCACACCGAGCTGTGGATGGCTCAGGCCCTGAGGCAGCTGGACCAGGGCGAGACGTCCCGCGCCGTGGACGCCGTCACCGTCCTCGACTACTTGAGCTACTCCGTGTACCAGCAGGGGGAGCTGGAGAGAGCGCTGGAGTTCACCAGGAGGCTGCTGGACCTGGGTTAGTACCTGCAGACGGGCAGTTCAGTCAGCAAACGTGCTGCTGTTGTTTTAAAGAGTTAGAAAAAGGAGCAACGCTGAGTTTCCAGAGAGTCGAAGGCTTCTTCTCACATCTTCAGAGCTTGTGTGCAGATTTGTTGATCTCTGTCACCTGAAGTTGTTTTTCTGCCCGTTAGATCCGACACACCAGCGAGCCAACGGGAACCTGAAATACTTTGAGTACCAGCTGGCCAAACAGAAGAAGGTGGAGAAGGTGGAGGAGAAGGAGGAGGAAAGCAAGGTGAGGCAGAGGAGGGAGAGCAAAGAGGACTACCTGACTGAGAGGAAGAAGTACGAGCAGCTGTGTCGCGGCCAAGGCATCAAGCTGGTGAGGCAAGTGAAACAAGCGCACCTCTGAGAGTCGTTTATCGGCGTCACTTCAACCTCTGCTTCCTGTCAGACTCCCCGCAGGCAGAGCCGCCTCTTCTGCCGCTACTATGACAACAACCGGCACCCGCGGTACGTGATTGGCCCGGTGCAGCAGGAGGACGAGTGGGACAGCCCGCACATCGTGCGCTACCACAACATCGTGTCGGAGAAAGACATGGAGAAGGTGAAAGAGCTGGCCAAGCCCAGGGTGAGTCCGAGCATCTTTATCTCACGCGCTGCTGCAGAGCTTATCCCAGGTCGGACGCCATTAGTGCTTTACCAACGCAAGGGGCGGGGCTAAATATCAGTATTCAGAAATATTGCTCCCCGTTAAGTCGCTGTATATTAAAATTTTTATGAAAACATGTTTATAATTACTTTGCCCGCCAACCTGACCCAACAGAGTCCAGTGGGCGGAGCTTATCAAAGGAAGTGACCTCGAAGAAGAAACTCACAGGGTGAAAAGTGTCGGAAAACTAATCAAGAGCAGTCGGGATGTTAAAAACTGGACAAGAGTCATGATCAGAACATGACTCCTGCCTGATGTGTCGCCACGACTCTAAACTGTCAGTTTTCGTTTTTGTGGCTGAATGTCGGCTCGGGGTTACGTCGGCTCGGGGTTACGTCGGCTCGGGGTTACGTCGGCTCGGGGTTACGTCGCCGATCGGTCGTGTTGATGTTCTGTTCACGGTTTACAGCAAAGAAGAGCAGCGCGAGCACTTTCAGCTCAAACACCCAGAAACTCAGGTCAATC